CTCGGAAGGTGGCCCCCGCGCCCTCCCTCCGCGCCGTGTTCCCTCCCTGCCTCCCCGGAGAGCCTCATCCCTCGTCCCTCTTCCGTGTTGCCTCCTCCTCTTCTCCTTCCGCCTCCCCCCTCCCTCCTCCCTCCTCCCTGTTGCCTCCCTCCTCACTCCTCCCTCTTGCCTGTTGCTCCTGCTCCTGTTGCTGCTGCTCTTCCTCCTCCTCCGAGCTTGGGGAGATCCTCACGCTCTGTGGGTTGCACCAGGTCTGGCCCCATCAGGTCCTCCTGACGCTGGGCACCCTTCTACCCAAGAAGACCACAGGCGATCGCGTGATTGGCCTCCTCTCGCACCTCGGGCGCACCTGGTCCCGAGCGCGCGAGGAGCACGTCCGCACGTGGACCGACCAGTGTGAGGCGCACTGGGACGCCGCCGTTCGCGGCAACGCGGCGCTGCGGGAGGTCTCCCTCCGTGCCGTGGATGAGGAGGTGGCTGTGCGGCTCGGCGCTTCCGTCGGCAACGGCATGCTCGACATAGCGAGTTTTTATGATACAGTAGGCTGGCTTCGCATGGGCAAGGCAGCGCTGCGTTTGCAGTTTCCTCCCGAGGTTCTGGGCTTGGAACTTCAGCAATGCATGGCTGCTCGGTGTGTTCGCCAAGCCGGGGCATATGGAGCCCCCTTCGCCCCGACGAGATCCATCGTCCAGGGCCTGCGCGGGGGGACGCGCTTCGGCAAGTGCGCCACCTACTACGTCCTGCAGAAAATCACCACCGTGCATGTGAATATGTCTCATCGGCTCTGGGTCGACGACTTGAGTCAGCAGAGTCGCGGATCTCGAGTTGCAGTACGGAATCAGTTAATCTCTTGCCTGGTGCACACGTGTCAGGAGTTAGTTGCACATGGACTCGCTGTTTCCCCTAAGTCAGTCGTTGTCTGCACTCGCATGGACGATGCTCGAGCTGTTGCCCGCAGATTAGCAGTCAAAGGATTTCGTATCAAGGTTGCTCGTCAAGCCGCTTACTTGGGAGGCGATTTGTCAGGTGGGCGCCGCCCAGGGCGCGCCACCCGACGAGCGCGAGCTGACAAGCACAAGGCGATGTCTCAGAAGATCGTGAGCTTTGCGCGCGCCGCGAGGCGCTACCGTGTCCCAGCGCGACTGGAGCTTCAAGGAGCGCAACCTGCAGGTCTGTACGGTCATCAGCTCCATGGGGTGCGAGGGGTGCCGATGCAGCAGGTCAGGCGCAAGCTGGCCAACGCGGTGGGCCCCAGGCTGTCTGGTCGGTGCCTCACCACGCTGCTGGATCTCAAGGCGCCCGACCGCGACCCTCAGTACAGGTTGCCGAACGACACGTTGCGGTTGTGGCTCGCCACGTGGGCCTCGCAACCGTCTTTGCGTTCAGGCATCCAGTTGGCTTGGCCCAAGATCGTCGCTGAGCTCACGCCGCTCTCCGAGGCCGCCAGGGGTCGACGGATTCGAGGGCCGCTGGGTGCCGTCATCTCATATCTGCTCGATCACGGATGGTCACCTGAGACACCTACGACATGGGATACACCAGATCGGCAGTCGGCTTGGCAATTCGATATGGACACCGTCACGGGTCACTTCATCCTCGACATCCCTGAAGAGTTCTTTCGCGAGCTCAGGCGCACCATCCAGGCCAGCTTGTGGGAGAAGGCAGCCCAGCACCACGGTGGCGCTGGCATGGAGGGAGGAGTGCACAATTACTCGTACAGACAGTTGCTCGATCAGTTGGCACAAGCTCCTGGAGGGCACCGACTAGCCAACCTGCTCTTAGCTGCTGCGGTTGGCGCCGACTGGCCGAGGACCCGTCGTCAAACACGGTGCCGTCAGTCGATGTCCGTGGTCTGTGCACGATGTAAGATAGATCCAGAAACCAGTTTTCATCGTGTCTGGGCTTGTAGCGCTCAGTCTCAGCATCCAGTATATAAGCTTAGCGAAGATCTCATCAGCAAGGCCTATGCACAGGCAGAGGCTGAGGAGTGTTTCTGGACTAGGGGGCTCATACCCTGTAGCTGGATGGAGGTACCCCCCCCCTGACTCCGAGGTCTGGACCACCACTGATGGCAGTGCTTTCGATTCCCTTGGCCATGGGACTCCCGAGTGGCCTATTTATGTTTTTGGGGACGCCGGTGGAAGGCAAGAAACCATCACCCCCTCCTCAGGCGTGTAGGTCTCGGGCTTGCATCCTTCCAGATTCTAGACGAGCGCATGTCGATTTCTGTCGGCGCTTGGGGACCCCTCCCAGGCTTTCGACAGACCGTAGCGCGAGGAGAGCTCTGGTGTTTGCTTGCCTGTCTCAGTCGAGTTTCTGGCCATTGTGTGTACACTACAGATAATGAAGCTGTCGCTTTGGGTTGGTACCAGCGCAAGTGGCTGGACCCCGCGGGACCCGATGCAGACCTCTGGTGGCGAGTTGGGCAGATGCTCCAACAGAAGGGGGACACACTCATTTGCACCGTGTTGTTTGTCCATTCCCACCTAGAGGCTGTATATATATATATATGTATTAATGTTGGTCCTAGACTCCTCGTTCTAGGTAATACCATAGTCTACCATTTCGCTTCTGCTGGCGCCTCGATCGCCAGACTGCCCGAATTCGCACGAGCACGCGTCCACAGCATCGAGCAGCAAGCGTTCGCAGTCCGCGTGCGTATCCTTCAAAGCACTTTGGAGACGCTCCTGGCAGAGGAGCGCCTTCTCGCTGGGCAGGGTGGCAAGCATAGGCAAAAGCAGCGAGCCTCTTGTGTTGTCAGGCCCCCCAGCGGCCAGTGTTTGTGCTGTTTTCAACTCTCGGCATTGTCTAAAGGAAAACGGAAAGAGCTGTTCCAGGTTTCAGGGGTCTGCTTCTGTGGCACGTCTCAGCGATTGGCTGAGCACTGATTGTTTCCCCCTAGTTAGTGTTGATGGGATTCTATATCGGCCTCCTCCTGGGCGAAGGGTGCATATCTCGGGGGGTTTCGCTCACGAATCTCATGTTTTACTTTTTCACTCGGGTTTAAACCTCTGGTTCTGCGCTGGGTGCGGTTGTTATGCTTCTCAGCAGCTCCGGCAACTAGGCACTAAGTGCGAAGAGGTCGTTTCTGGTAATCGGAAGGATTACGTTGATAGAATATCCCGAGGTCTTTGGCCTAAGGCCCTTAGCAAAGCCGAGCTGGCCAGCGGTAAGCGGCAGGGTACATAGCCGCTTCATTCCCTGTCACCGACACTGTCGCCACACCCGTAACTCCGTAACTCCTCCTCCCCCTCTTGCTCCTCCCTCCTCCTCCTCCTCCTCCTCCTCCTCCTCCTCCTCCTCCGCCTCCCCCTCCCCCTTCTCCTCCACCGCCTCTTCCTCCGCCTCGTTTCCCTCATCCTGCTCGTCCTCCTAACCCTCCTCCCTCCTCACTCACACCTCCCCCTCCTCTTTGTAATCCTCCACCTCCTCCTCCTCCTCCCTCCTCCTCTTCCTCCTCCTCCTTCCTCCTCCTCCTCCTCCTCCTCCACCTATATTCCTCCCACCTTCCTCCTCCTCCTCTCTCTTCCAGCAACTCCAACCTGCCTCCTCCGCCCCCCTCTTCCTCCCCCCTCCCTCCTCCTCCACCTCCTCCTCCTCCTCCTCCACCCCACCTCCACCTTCCTCTCCTCCTCCCTCCTCGTTCCTCGACCTCCCCTCCTCCTCCTCCTCCACCTCCTCCACCACCTCGTCCGCCTCCTCCACCTCCCTCCACCCATCCTATTCCTTTTTCCACTCCTCGTCCTCCTCGCCACCTCCTCCTTCCTCCTCCACCTCCTCCCTCCTCCTGCTCCTGCTCCTCTCCTCCTCCACTCCTCACTCTCCTCTTCCGCCACCTCCTCCTCCTCCAACCTCCTCCCTCCTCCCTCACCCACCTCCTTTTCCTCCTCCTCCTCCTCCCCACCTCACTCCCCACCTCCTGTTCAGTCCTCCTCCTCCTCCTCCTCGTCGTCCTCCCCTCCCCCCCCCGGCCCCCTCACCTCCCCTCCTCCTCCTCCTCCTTCCTCCACCTCCTTCCTCTCCTCCTCCTCACTCTCCTCCTCCTCCTCCTCCTCCTCCTCCTCCTCCTCCTCCTCCTCCTCCCTCCTCCTCCACCTCACTCCTCCATAACCTCCTCCTCCTCCACCTCCTCCACACCTCACTCCTCCTCCTCCTCCTCCTCCTCCTCCTCCTCCACCTCCTCCTCCTCCTCCTTTCCTCCTCCACCTCCTCCTCCTCCCCCTCCTCCTCTCCTCCTCCTCCGCCTCCTCCTCCTCTTCCTCCGCCTTCCTCTTCCTGCTCATATGGTTCCTCTTCCTCCTCCTCCGCCTCCTCCTCATCCTCGTCCTCCTCGCTCACATCATCATCATCATCAACATCATCATCATCATCATCATCATCATCATCATCATCATCATCATCATCATCAACATCATCATCATCATCATCATCATCATCATCATCATCATCATCATCATCGTCATCAGCAGCATCATCACAATCATCATCATCATCATCATCATCCTCACCATCATCATCATCATCATCATCATCGTCATCGTCATCATCACCATCATCACCAACATCATCATCATCAGCAGCATCAGCATCAGTAACAACAGTATCATCATCACCACCACCACCACCATCATCATCATCATCATCATCATCATCTGCATCAGCATCCGCATCCGCATCCGCATCCGCATCATCATCATCATCACCATCACCATCATCATCATCCGCATCATCATCATCATCCTCATCGTCATCATCATCAGCATCATCATCATCATCATCCACCACCACATGCTCCTGTTCCTCTTCCTCATCCCGCTGTTCCTGCTCCGCCTCTTCCTCCTCCAACCTCCTCCTGCTCCTCGTCCTCCAGCTTCCTCCACCCTCATATCCATCTGACTTCTGGTCATTGCTCAATTCTACCGCCTGACCGTCCAATGGCCGATCTGTCCATGCCGTTGCACCCGGCCAGTCAGAAAACCATTCAAACTCGATATATTTCT